AGATAGAAAATGTTGGACTGTTGGTTTAACTTTGGACTCACCTGTAGTTTAGGAGAATCACGGATCAAAGGTTTGAAATTTTAAGAAATAAAAGATCTCCTAAATAAAAGTGTATAATTATATAAATATTCAAGCTTTTTAATTTTCTATTAAGTTAAAAAAAGTAATATTATCTGCCCTGACTGTCAAAGTCAGTGGAAGGGCCAAAGATTATCAACAAGGTGATTGGTCTGCAGGTAAACTGCTGTTCAGGTTATCCAATTAGATGTTAGAAGATAAATGATTTCATTATTAGTGCAGCATAGGAAATGATCAAATAAAATATATACTTCAATTAAATCATGTTATTTAAAAATGAGTATTCCATATAAACAAAGTATTTGTCGGCCTGTGACCGTTTTGTTCCCTTAAAAATGTGAGGAGTGTGTATGACTTTATATTGGATTTAGTTTTCTGTTATTATTATTATTAAGTTTTAATTTATGACTACTTAACGGTTACCTTTTCTGTTTGGAATTTATCCTTTATAGGTTTATGTTTATACTTTTTGAATTTAGTGTTTAATATTAGTTTTGTTATTTGGGTCTTGCCATGTTTAATTTTTGCCGTTAGGGGTTTGCCATATTAGTTTTTCCAGTTGCTTTCTAATCTATTTCTCACTTATTCCTTAGTTTTAGTTTTGTCTTTGCTTTCTGAAGTCACTATTTCCTTACTCTGTTTTTCCCATCCCTTCTTCAGCCCAAAACCTTTTTGTTAATTAAAATTAGAGAATTCCTTGTTGTTGTATTTCCTCATCTCTTCTACCGTTTGCAACCGTTTCCTCCCTACGTACCATCTCAGTTAATTTACTGTATTTATCTGGTCTTCAGTTCATTTCTGTTGCCTGTTTCTTGAAGAGAACATTAAACTCTGTATAAACAAATCATGTGGCTCCCCAGCGTCAGTTTGCATTTTGGTCCAGAATAACTGATAATGGAAATATCTCTAGAAGACTATTTTATCGATATATTGATTTTAAGAAATGAACAACATATAAATTGATGTAAAATGTATCAAACTAACAGTAGCTCAGCATGTTTACAGTTTGAAGTGGAAACATCAGTAGCAGAGCAGCAGCTGCATGAAGGTGGTGAAAGTTGTTCCCCCATTTTTTTTTTTTTTTTTTTTTGCAGATCAAAAACAAAACTTGGGAAAAAAAAAAAAGGATGCATCAGTGACCTTAATGGCTCCCATCACTGCCCTCTCCAGGACCTTCTTCTCTGCCATGTTTATCTAGAAATGAAAATGTTGGGTAACAGTTTGAACAGCAGTGGGCCGAGCACACAAACTAGAGGGACCCCAGTGGCCAATGTAGTGAAGTTATAGAAACTCTCTCTGTGTTAAGACTAACTGGCTTTAGAAAACAGTCTTCAGGCTGCTGCTGGAGCCTTTGATCTAAGGGCGAGGGGGGCTTTATATACATACTCCAAACACCTGTTTTGTTTTTTTTTGCTTGTTTTTTTCTCAGCCTTTTATTGTCATTACACTGTCACAAGTACAGAGCAACGAAATGTACTCTCAGTATTTAACCCATCCCCTCGGGGAGCAGTGTGGGACTGAGTGTCTTTGCTCAGAGACCCAGAGAGGCAGTCTGTGGGACTGAGGCTCGAACTCAGAACCTTAGGATTCCAAGTACAATGCCCCAACCACTAGGCTGCCACTCCCCAAAGCAGGCAAAGGGTCTTCCCTAAGGGGCAGCTCATTCCCCCCAGCTGGAATATGAACCCAGGCCTTCTGTTTTTAGAACGGGTGACTAACCACTTGAACTAGCCAGCCACCAGTTAACCTGACAGTCATGTTTTTGAGATGAAGGAAATAGCATGAGTACCTGGAAAGAACCCATACATACATGGATACTCTCAACAGAAGGCCTGGCTGGAAGGCAGCAGTGCTTGCAATTGCTAAACATCATAACAGCAGCCCCATAGAGCTCTATTATTTCACACAATCATGGCATTTTTACAATATTTCATCTGTAACTGTGTAAGGCTGATCACAAGGTTGTCTGAGGTATGTGGTTAGGGTTAAACAATGAGAAATGGGTGCAACTACTTCTTCTATTTGCCAGCATGAAAAAAGAACATGTTTGACGGCCCAGATTGAAGAGACTCTTATAGCTAAATTTGATATTAACCTGTTAACCTGGTCTCTGTATTGTGGAACTGAAATATCTCTATTTATTTATTTATTTATTTTTTGACTTAGGGATGATATTTCTTATCCTAGAGAGCCTGCTTCCACACAGCTGTATGTTGTGAAGGCGTTTTCCTCTCTAATGACCCTGTGACGCTCATTACTGGTGATCTTTCTGCTCGATCAGGCCTTTTTATGTCGCAAACTTGTTTGGTTTTAATGTAACCCTGAGTAGAAACCTGGCCTCTCCCTATGTTGTTTTTTTATTACAGCTGCACCCCTCTACATAATCATAACAATGCCACCTACCGTCTATGGGCATATATTTGTTTAAATCTGATGCCAGGTCCACTAGATAGGTTTAATAAATCTCCTTTGTTTGGTTGCTGGTCAATATTTGAGAACAAGGAATATTGTCTAAATCTTATTTTTAATCTAATGCAGCTGCGCCATCTAGTGGACAAAACATTTTATACTTAATTTACCAGTTCCCCAGATTTCTGAGCTACTGCACTGCAGAAACTGAAGTGAAAAATAAAACATATCCCCTCAAAAATCTATGTTACCTTTAGCTGTGCTCATTCCTACCCCCATCGATGGTTCTAGGAGGGACCAACTGGGGCCGGCGCCCCTGTTGAATTGGCCCTGGACCCTGTTCTGAAAACATACACTGCAAAAATTTAGATATAAGTAAATTTTTAAAGGGTTTATTTTTCCTTGATTTAAGCAGATAAGTAAAACATTTTGCCAATGGAATTAGATGATTTACACTTAAAAGGAGAAAAAAGCATCCATGCTGTTATTTTAGGTGCGTAACATCCAATAATCCTATTTTAAGGGCAAAAATATGTTGCTGTAGCATTTAATTTTATTTACCTCCCCAAATGATGTGAAAAAACACTTATTTAAAGAAATCTGTTCCAAATTTTAGGTACAATTTTCCAGTCTAAGATTAAATTGATGACTTATGATGGTCTGTGCTGAAAGGAAAGTTCCTTGGACCAATTTAATACAATTTACACTATTAAATATGCAGAAATTACTGTCAGCTTCATGCTTCAGTTGTACTAGAGGTCCCCAGGTTCATCCGTTAGATCAGGGCTCTGGCTCTTTTAATAGACAGTATACACAGCTTCAATATGTGACAGTATGTGATCTTCTGCAATAATTACTGTGGAGAATTTGAAGCTTTCTGCTTTCCTTTGCAAAGTTATGATTGTTTTGGACTTTTAATTTCGGTTAATTTTGGGGTAAACATTTTTGCACAGGATTCAAAATGTCAGAGTATTTCAATTAATGAAATTATGTACAGTAAAATATCATTACAAGATTCAATAAAAAGGTATACATCTTCATATTTAGTTTGATAAAACACACAATGCAGTTTCAGTTTTCCCCTTATTTCACAGTTTTTCATTTTGGGTTAACAGGAATGTTTCTCCTTTCCAGCTGAGTTTTTTTTTTTTTGACAGTTTTTATTATCTAGAGTAACCCGGGTCCTGTCACTCTTACAAATAAAATAAATTATCTTTCTTTTTAGATAGATCGCAACACCTTTAATTTGAGGCAAATACAGATTTTTTTGTTGTTGTATTTTTCAGCAGCGTGTTATCACTGCAATACAGTTTCCAGAGCATTAAAATGGAAAAAGCTCAGCTCATTAAATAATTTTTATTCATCGTTGCATTAATTAGATTTTTATACTTTGGAATTATTTAATTATGACCAAAGTTAAATGCAATTCACTTTATTTATCTATACCACCAATTCACAACACGTCATCTCAAGGCGCTTTACATTTCAACCAGATCATACAGCCAAACTGATTCAAAGTTGTCTCTCTAGGGAAAACCAGTTTTTTTGCATTGACTCATTGATTCAGAGACAATCCCTCACACTAATCATGCATATAGTGACAGTGGAGAGGAAAAACTCCCTTTTAACAGATTTCTGTTAAAAGATTTCTTAGAGTTGTAGTAATTTTATTTGGGGTGGATTTTGTCCCATTATAGCTGCAAAGGACATGAAGAATTTGAAACTTAATTTTAAAAACCCAATTGCATGTGACCTGAATCAGATGAATAAAAACAACTAGAAAAAAATAAATAAATACATAAATAACATCTAACATCTATATATGAGTATTTTTAAGGTAAATTCCAAATTGAATTTTTTTTTTTTTTTACAAATGTCTATTTACAAAATGTGTTCTTTGCTTGTAAAAGTAATGGGACAAAATTCACTCCAAAGTAGTGCTAATAGCAGTAGGGGTAGTCTAAGAGCAAAGAAGCTTCTGGATGACCTGGAAATAACATGTTAAAGAGAAGTAAAGCAGTTCACTGCCAGGACTCCTCTGCTGAGGAAATACTTGATGGATCCTGTTTGCAGTTTGCTGTTGGATAAGCCAGTCCAATTGGAGGAGAATCTAGTCTGATCTGATGAGGCCAAAGCTGAAGTCTTAGAAGTCACTACAAACACCAAAGTTAGGAGGAAGAATAGTTTCGAGTTTGAAGAATGAGACAAAATCCAGATAAACTATGCATGTTAGTTTGATCACATGCATAGTTAATGTAATTTACACAGATCAGTTAATAGATGACTCTAAAGGCATTCAATGAATTTATCCTTAACTTTATCTGTGGACTAATTTGCTTTGAATTGGTTGCATGAGAGGATTACTGATGCAGTTTATGACTTCTGGGGGGATTTTCATGCCCAGTAGATGCAGTTACTTAGAAAATGTGTAATTTTTCTTTAATACTGTTTAAGTTGATTTTTATCAAAACTTAATCCATCAAACTTAAACGTGGAGAAAAACAAAGCACTTCAAAGTTTAAAGAGTTTTTTTTTATTAATTTCTTAAAACAAAAAACAGTATTTACATCAAAATAATTACTTTTTTTTCCAGTATCCTGGGCGGCCTCAAAATGGGAGGTAATGTTGGGCTGATTAGATCTGAGCGCATCAGTCTTTCCATGGTGAGGTATTGCTGTGGGAAGTTGGCACTAGGTTCTTAATTGGACCTTTTTTTTTTACATTGTTGAAGTAATTGGGTCGTATCCCCACACAATGAAGAATAAGAACCTGTTTCTTGCCTTTACTTGATCAGTTGCTCCTTTGAGCAGCGTGTTAATGAAAGAGTGGCACTGATTAACATTTAACGGCACCTCTCCTCATCAGTGTTTGCTTGGTTACAGTCTAATAATCTCTCCTCAGTGGTTTGGTTTTAAACAGTCCTCTTGTCGCTCAGCTCCATGGAGGAATCGGTTGTGGGCCCCTGCTGTGAGTGTAGATCTTCTGAAAACACAAAAACAATCCAGTTTAAACCATTTTTCTTTTTTTGTTGTTTAATTCAATTCAGTTTATTTAGATAGCGGCAATTCACAAAACGTTTCATCTGAAAGCACTTTACAGTTCACCAGATCATACTGTCAAATTGATTCAAAGTTTTCTATACAAGAAAAACCAGTTGATTGCATCGACTTATTGACTCCTAGGCAATCCCTCACACCCAGCATGCTTGTAGCAACAGTGGAGAGGAAAAACTCCCTTTTAACAGGATGAAACCTCCAGCAGAACCAGGCTCAGTGTGAGCGGCCATCTGCTGAGGCCGACTGGGGTTCAAGGAGACAGAAGCAGAGATACAAAAAAACTTGTCAACCAGCTCCACAGGCGGGCCCGGTTTAGAGATGCACATCTAGGATGAGTTGCAACATTTCAGCGAAGCCTCACTTCTCTTCTAGAATTTGCTTAAAAAAAACTTTTATGCAATGTTGAAACTGGTGTTGAGCAACGTTTCCTTGGTACCTTTATATACATTTTTCTTTGAAAACTGACCTGTTGTAATAATTTTGCTTCTCCTCTATTTAACTTGTTCTGAGAAATGAACAAATTTGGATGTCAACATATTTAACACTACCCTATGAGTCAGGAAATAAAAAAAATATCAAATAAACAATAAATGTAGCGGGGGTTACATCTCCAGGAAGTTTGTGATACAGCATTGATGATCAAAGTTACAACTCTATTACAGCCTCAGATTTCACTGCATTTCTCAGTGCGACCAACGTTTAAACAGCTTAGAAACTGTCACTGGCTTTTATTTTCATTTAATCTTGAGTTCTGGTTTCTAACCTCATTTTAATTTTGATATGTTTTTTATTATCTATTAGCTAGTTTAGCTTAGTTTTAACTTTTTAACGTGTGTAATTTCAGTTTAGGTTTTATACCTTTCAGTCATACATTCCAGAGGCAAGACTAAAAAAAATTCAAATAACAGCATTAAAATCCCAGACAAGGACAGACAACAACACAATTGACCTAACTGCCATTTCTGCCATCTACTGGCGTAATGTGGTACAGCAATAAAAAAAGCATAAACAGCAACCAATAACCTCACATTAATGCATTACCATAAAGAAATAAATGAAAACTGAGTACATTCACTCTCAATTTTCTTTTCAGTTAGGCCTTAAAAAAATATTTAAAAAAAATAATTTTCGATATTTCATTAGTTTTAGTTAACATTAATTTAGGGCTGCAACTAATGATTATTTTGCGAATCGATTAATCTATCAATATTTTTTTTATTAATTGGACAGCAAAAAATTCCTTAAAGAAGATTTTTTAATGAAATTAAACCAGGGGAAACTAAAACTTTTCCACTTGAGGAGTTCTGGACAGAGCTTACTGACAGTCTTTAAAATGTTTACTGCTCTAAGTGGGTTGCTCCCTCAGCTCAAGGCATGTTTTACAGTCTCTATACTCCATTTAACGATTAACCAATTATTAAATTAGTTGACGATTATTTCAATAATTGATTAATCACGATTAATCCGATTAATTGCTTGAGCCTTGCTTCTGACGCAAAGGAAAAATGCATCAGCAATGATCTCATCAGGCTTTTTCCTTCAAAGGGATTTTCAAATCAACTCAAAAGCTTTGTTTCAAAGCCTCAAACCAAATCCTTAAAAAATATTTATTAAAGCTCTAGGGGACGATTTTTTCAGAACCTGAAGTCAGCAGCATATTAATGCAGGTCTGCATGGTTCACCATTCTTAAAGGTCCAACATTATGCAAAATTCAAACAAACATTTAACAGTTATATGTGTCCTGAAGCCTGTGTATGACGTTCACTAATGAAAGAAAATGATTTCAGTGCTATCACTGCATTTCTCCAATGCTTAGCTAAGTTGTGCTCAAAATGGACTGAAAAGCCCTTTATGATGTCATGAGAGGAATAAGCTGTGGTCTGTAGCAGCCCTTCACTCAAGCTACAGCCTTCATCTATGCTGTGTTCAAATTCAGGGGCTGGATCCTCCGAAGGCACGATTCGTAGGCCGATGAGGTCATAGCGCAGCGCTAAGGCCTGTTCGGGTTGGGAGACTCCTTGTTATGCGGCCGACATATGCATCCTTCTTTTTGCCCATTTTCAAGGACAGGTCCGGTGTTTTCTACGTACCCTCGGGTACGTAGGAAACCTAAAAAAAGTGTGGCATGTATTTCGATTCAGCTTCCTGAGTAGGCCTCAACTTTACCTGGATCTCTTTAATAAACGGGCACATTTTCATTGAAACCCTGTTATTGTAACTCAGGCAGTATATTAAGCTTTGTTCCCACTGCAGGTCTTAATGCTCAAATTCCACTTTTTTTGTGGTCCTTCTCATTATTTTTTAAATGCTGCCTTTATCTGTCTACAACTGTTAAAAGCTCCAACTTTACCCGCATGTGAGAACAATAAGTGCATCTCTGTGTGTAGCACAACTGTAAAGAAGGAGAAATAGGTGTTATGGCACAAAAGAAGCCATCTACTGTGTTAGCAGGGGTTGTGGGGGAAACGAGTGAGTGAGTGAAACTCTTCCTAAAGGGACGCTTTAAGGAGGTTTGACTCCAGTTTCAGCACAACAGAGTGTTTGGATGTGATAACACAGAAAGGAAAGGTTAATCACTTCACAGAAACCCAGTTTATTAAGAACTTTATCATGCATGGGTTTTTTTGATCAAACATGTCAGCACCTCTACTCCCTCCACAGGAAGGAGACTTGAAACAATCCAGAGTATCGGAATGCAGCGAGGGCGGATCATAGCATGCCGTCTAACACAAAGACTGAAACTAAAGTGTTTTTATAAGATCCACATGCATTAACTCCATGCTCCTTCTCTGCGCTCTATTGCTTTTTATTCTCCCAAGGTCCTCTCCTACTCGCTCGTTGATCCGTTTCTGTAAATTCATGTAAACTTTTCTCACTTTGAAGGTGAAACCAACCTGAGAAAGTAAACTTTGGCTACTTTCTTTACGAAATCCCGCCTCTTGCGAAAGCACTGTTTTTGCTACAAACAAGTGATGGTGAGATGAAGCTTCATGAGGCATTGAAGCATTTGGGCAAATTGCTTCCATGATGCCCACAGTTCATGAAGCTTCATGTCACCACCTAGTGGTGGAGCGCATAACTATAGTTAGTAATATAGTCTGTGATAGTTTTGCAATTGTTTTTGTTGTTATTTTACTTTTTAAGTTCCTTTGAAAATTGTTCATGATTGGTGTTTATAATAAAATATTTTGTACCTTACTCGTGCATAAAAATGTCATAGAAGAGAACAATCTTTTAAGGTACACTGTTTTTCTCTCATTTTAGTTAAATAAACTCAAGTAGACAGACAGCAAACTGGGCAAGGATGAGTAAAATGAATGATGTTAGTCATTTCTATTCAAAAATAATGGTTTCTCCACAGTTTTTGGTTTTAATTGGGTTGGAAGCTATGTTCAACCAATCTTTTGGTTAAAACAACCTATTTGGCAGTTTATTTACCCAATGTATATTGGTAAAAGGGCAAACCAATGCAAATTGGTCACATCGGCAAAAAGTATTAAGCATTATAGCAACTTTTAAAAGCTTACAGCAGGACTTGTACCAACAGCCATTTGATTGGAAGGCTGTCTTACAGCTGACACCACTTACAGTAGTAACAGTTGCTTTGAAAGCAGTACTACTAAATACTAATACAACTGTAACCAGTGGCTTGCTCAGATTATGACCGTTATATTGTTAAATCTGACCAAAATTATTTTAACCAACTAGACTGTTTGTTTTTGCAACCAATCTATTCTTAGAATCTATTCAAACTCTATCCAACTGACCTCAGCTCTCCTACAAACTCCTACATCTTGACTGAATACTGAGGCTGTTTAAATGTTTGACGAATTTTGCAGGCGAAGTGGTCACATGGTATGGCGGAATAGCGAGGCTTCGTAAGTCGTAGGTTTTGGCCCCTACCCTAAATGAAGTAAGCCTTGATAGTTACTTTGCAGAAACACCCCATCCACTACTTGACACACACTTTAAAGCCTCAGCTGATCTAATAACATCACTATTAATTCAATTCAGTTTATTTATATAGCACCAATTCACAACATGTCATCTCAAGGCACATTACAGTTCACCAGATCATGCAGTCAAATTCTTTCAAAGATTTCTGTCTAAGGAAAACCAGTTAATTGCATCGACTCATTGATTCAAAGGCAATCCCTCACAATAAGCATGCTTGTAGCGACAGTGGAGAGGAAAAAACTCCCTTTTAACAGGAAGAAACCTCCAGCAGAACTGGAACTATCTGCTGAGGCCAACTGGGGTTCAAAGAGACAGAAGCAGACATACAAAAGGCAACTGTAAAAGGCAGCCCCGTCCAGGAAACACACAGTCAGGCAGACGAGTTCTAGTAACATTAGCAAAGCAGCTTCATGCTAATTGCTAAAGTGAGTTTCTTATTAAATATTTTAGTTTTATCAGTGTCATGAATGTGTTCTAACAGCACTCACAATATGCACTAAAATTTATGTTGAATATTTATGACGCTGGTTGTTCTCTGGATTTATAAATACCACACATGATAACTATCTACTCACTAAATAACCTCTGAGATGAATTGGATGGACTGATTTTTCAGTATTTAAATTCATGCCACACTTTTCAGATCTGTAATGTTCCCTCCACATCAGGAATATGTAAATCCAGACAGAACACAGACAAGGCGGTGGCTGTAACATGACGAGACGCGGATGGTTGTGGCACAATTAGTTGTACTTTTTGTTGCAGCTTTCAGTCAATGGAAAGAATAAGGTCATAGGTCAGCAATGTCCTCAGCAGCTGGGGCATTCTCTACCTCTGAGCTTGCAGACAACCGAGTTGCCACTAAAGTATTTAGTTATGTCTGCAGTTATGGAGAATTAGTAAGAGAGCCAGTGTGAGCCTTGAATAGAAGCCTTCAGGAAGGCCCTCACCCTGGAGCATGGTGAAAAATCTTAATGTGGGAGTGGTCAGTCGTGACTTACCTTCAACAAGTCGCTGGACTGCTTTCCTGTCTTCAGTAATATACATGGTGGTGATGAGAAAAAATACTCCTCCTAAGATCCCAACGAATGGACAAACAAGGAGGCTGTACATCAGGCTGCGGAAGTTCCAGTCATGGGTTTTAGGATTAGATGAGCGTATGGCGTCGGATATCTGGGGAAATGGAAAGGAGAGTTAAAGACAAGAAGCAAAAACCCACAAAGGCTGCAAAGGGCAAAAAAAAACTAAAGAAAAGGATTTCTCACCACTCCTAACAGGTAGGGACTCCCAGCGTCACCAAGGAGATGACCAAAGGTGATCTGTAGAGCCTCGGCTGTTGCCCTTCTGGTTGGTACGACAACATACTGAAGAAATCGAGTAAAATGGCTAATTAAACCGAGAACCAGCAGAATGCTTCATAATTCATCAGAAATGATCCCAGTTTGACCTCACCAGTAAGATGTCAGCCAGGACAGCCCAGTTCAGGGACAGCAACAACTCACCAAAGAAAATAAATACCTGAAACGAAAACATTCAAGTTATAGATGATGGGGGAAAAAAATATGATAAAGTGATGGTAAAATAAAAAAGGTGATTAAGTCACTTTTTATTTTTTCAATGAATGAAGAAAATGTTAATCTAATAGACAGGGGTGGATTTAGCAAATTTGGGTCCCTAGGCAAAAACAGGCAAAGAGACCCATTATGCAGATACAGAAATTTTAATAGAATAGACATACATTATTTTTTGCTACCATTTCTCCCTCTCTTCTTCTTCCTTTTCAAGTTGTTCTCCTCTCTATGTTTTATGCTCAGCTGACTTTTCATGCTGTATACAAAAAGGAATGAAAGATTTTTTCCAAGCACTAAGCTCACTTAGCTGATTGCTCCTTTCTGCGTTTCCAAAAGGACGACGGCCAAACTAAATAACCCAGTCCTCCTTTTCACTGCTTCTCTGTTCTCCATTTTTCATTTTCATCAAATAATAGCTGCATAAATCTTGACAGCAGACAATATAGAGGAGAGCAGGAAGCGTGGTTATAAATCTACTTGCTCTGGAGAGCAGAGTTCACTGCTTTTAGATGTTGTAGCCAGAGTCTCCAGTAGTAGAAAAAAGTTGTTACATTTGACGCTAGGAGCTTTTTTTAATAAATAAATAAAAGTGCTAGAGGGGTCTGAAAAGTCGCTAAATAAAGCAAAAAAAGTGCTACCAGTAATTTGGCAACACTGCTCTTCTCATTGTTTGTGCATTTTAGCGAAAGGATTTTTAATACTTGTAAATACCATACTTGTAAACAGAGTTTTATGGGGCCCCCAGGAACTCGGGGCCCTAGGCAACTGCCTAGTATTGCATATTGGTAAATCTCCCGCCTGCTAATACATTCCTTGTTTTATTTCTCTAGATTTAATGGAACTAATTTGGAAACTGGGCTACATTTAAAGACATGTTCGAAGAAATCATGAAAAAAAAAGTTTCTGCCTTTTATGCATTTTAAGAAGAAACCACATGACGGTTTGTTTTAAAGAAATTTTGAATGGCTAGTTAAGAGCTAAATTCCTCTATTAAAATATTAGAAACTTGATAATTTAATGCAGTGTCTCACGTAAGCAGCGGGAACGCTCGAGGATGCAACAAAAATGGTGATGAAGAGGCAGGGGACTGATCCGAGCATGCCCACTGCACAGATGAGCGGGTCAGCATGTGAGAACTTATCCCTAAAATGTCTGGACAAGGTGGTGCCCAGAGCTCCTCCCAGAATGCCCGTCGCCACCGTCACAGCACCAAATATATAACTGTGGAGGAGAAAGGCAGCAATTATTGAAACTAATGTTGATTTTTTTAACTTTAAGACAAATGCAGGTCAAGGCTGGAGATGAAACCTGTCTGTGGAGTCGCAGGTGTCGCCGGTGCATGAACGTTCAACACCCTTGGTCATGTGAGCCCTGGCCAGGAAGGTGGGCAACCAGAAAGCCAAGGCCCCGGTGAGGAAGGCCAGAGCCGTCACTCCGAGTGACGACCACACATAACTTTTACTGAGATCAGAGAAACATCAGAAATAAGATAAAAATTCCAGAAAAAAGTCCAAAAAGTTTATTTTTTTCTCTCTTTTTAACATCGTACTTCTTCAGAAGATACTTTACATCCTCCTTGTAGGAGCTGTGACCCGTCACTCCATCTCCGTGGGTTTCTGCGGCCCCTCTGGGTGGGTTAGGACAAAGGAACACCATCAGGATGAGTCCCACTACACCCATGATGGGAGTGATCTGATAAAAGCAGGGAAAAAGCCTCATTTATTTCTACACACCTGTAGAAAACCTCAGTGTTTATAAATGCTGCAGATCAGTGGTTTTGAATTGTAGGGAAAGTTATACCCTGAGAGCCCAGCGCCAGTCCCCTGTGAGATTAGCACTCCCTGCCCCTGTGATGTATCCAAGACCGCTGAAAACAAGGAAACAATGTCAACAGCTTAGAAACAGGTTGAACTTTACGAGAAATAGAGTTAAATAAAACAAGACAAACATATAAAAGGGTCAAATTAGTATAAAGACTGAAAACTCTGTTTTCATTTTTAAACAGAGAGGCTGCTTTTAGCCAATCAGAGAAGGATGGAGAAACCTTTCTTCCTGATGAATGAAAGCCGCTTTAATCTTCACTTCTATGGACTAACAACCCAGAAAAACAGGAGTTATAACTTAGACTGGGATTTTTCCCCCAAAGGGTTTTAATGTTTCTCAGGGTTTAAATACACCGGGTGGAAAAATGTTTTTTATTTTTGTCTTATTGAAGATTCTTACTTTTAACAAAACAACATTTTATACCAATTATTATTCACATATTTTTTTTAGATAAAGCCAAGTTTATTTATTTTATTTAAGCTTTTCACGCTTCGGTTTGTGCCATAATTCCAGCAGCTCTATGTTGTGTTTTATTTTCTACTGTTAAAACTAAATTTTAAAAGTTTCAAACAAGAATAGAATATCACTGAACAAATTTTATTCTAAACAGAGAACAATATCAAACACGACCCTTCAGCTGTTATGTAACTCAGCAGTGCAGTCTTCACAATCCAAATACTTAACCATATCTACTAGGTCTTCTTTTTCAACATTCAACTTCAACTTCCCTAAAACGTATAATCCTAATTTTGTACTATTTTCAAAGTATTTCTGCTTTTCTCGCCTTTAGCTCTGTCAGACTCTTACATGTCCCTCAAAACTTTGAGCTCCCTCTGTTTAAGGAACCACAGGCGCCTCATCATCATGATCTTTGCTTTTGGTAAAAATACAAGGAGGTTTTTTCTTCCCACTTTCACTACATGCATATTTGGTATGAGGGACTGCTGCAAGACAGACTTAATGCAATCAGACAAGGTAAAGTGTTGTGAATTGGAGCCATACAAAAAAAACCAAATTAAACTGAATGGGAGCAACTCTTTTCATTCAGTTCAAGTAGAATCGGAAACAAAACTTGAAGCGTTTGCATGTTCCTCTTTTCTGTAGTAATAACTCATCACCACTTCCACTAGTTTCTCTCTACGGAGTGAGTTTTGTTCCATTATTTTGCAAGTCAAACACACATATTGTAAATGGAAATTTAAGAAAAATGCTATCCAGAAATTAAAGTTTTAAAAAAAATTAACCTCTTAACATCCACCTTATTTTGGGTAATCCTCGCCTATTTTGCATACCCAGATGGAAAAGCAAATAACTTGAAGAACTGCAAATAACTGTAAGCCCAAATTACATGTGCAATACATTATTTGAAAGCTTACACTCTCTAGTTTCCTAATATATAAATTAAAATTGGTTGACTAGAGACCAACCTGCATCAGTTCAAACATGACTCAAAGTTTGGTTTTTTTATTCTCGGAAATGTTAGGTCTTTTTTGAACAGCAGTAATAAAGACATTCTTGAGGAAAGGCAGGTTTTATTGTATCATATTTGTTCTGCATCATGTCAACCACAAATGCAGAACATTTCAGACCTCTAGCTATAATAGTTCCAGAGCTGTGGCGATTGGAACTTTTGGTGTCCCAAAGGCTCCACCTGCTGGTAAAAATTTTACCGGTGGAATTTTAGGAATTCTGAATTATTACAACTTTGCTGTTTTCCTAGACAGTGACTTTAAAATGTATATATATATATATATATATATATATATATATATATATATATATATATATATATACACACATACACACACACACACATTTCTTTTTTAGATTGTATTTTCCAGATCACGTTCTCTTTACTTCTAGGTGCGGGCTTTCCTCTGGATTGATTGGCAAGGCCAAATTTCTATTAGCAACAACATTTTTATTGTTCAAAAGGAATCTTTGTTTTGGGCTCGAAGTGAAGAGAACATCTAGAAAAGACAATTTAAAAAGAATGCAATTAATAAAATTCCTTCTAAAAATAAACACATTTAAAAAATTTGCATTTGGAAATATTAAATGGATAAAACTATAAGAAAAAAAGAGTTTATACTAAAGGAAAAGTCCTATCATATTTAGAATTCAAACCTCTGAAATTACTTTAAATTTGAAATTATTACATACTGTTCAATAAATCATAAGTGTTTTTAACTAAGAGTAATTTTCATTTGAATGTGCTTTACTGGAGGCATCCATGTTTGTCAAAGAACACTACTGCCACCTACTGGTTTGTGACGTCACGGTGCGGTATCGGCTGTTGATCAAGTCCCAGTGCTGTATCTGGTGTTTGTCACAATGCGCTATTATCCAAGTCATCTTGAAAACATTCTTCTTCCAAATGTTGGCTACATATGACCTGTTTTTTCTCTGGCCAGAAGTTTGATGGCAAATAAAGATGAAAGATGAAATAACTCTTTTGTTTCACTTTTACCCGATGTATTCCAACATCCAGCTGCCATGCACATGGAAATTGTCAGTTTAACTGTAGCTCTGGTGAATCTCAATGGTGAAGTCCTCTGGAAATCTTCAATAATTGTTGTTGATTGCAGATGTGTCTAGTAGTTCCCATTGATTTTGCTTGTAAAGCGGGGAGAATGGCGCTAGGCTTACCGCACCGTGACGTCACTGCTGGAAGATGGCAAGAGTGAGGTGTTACTATATTTGGGCAAAAATGGCCGCTCCCAGACTGAGTGATCGCAACGAAAATTATTAAAATTTTTTTTACTGATTAAGGCTAAATTCATTAAATCACCCCAAACATATTAGTTTTAGGTATTAATAATAATCCATTAATTATTTCTTGCTGACCGCAGTTTTCCTTGCAGCAAAGTTACTTTCAAAACCCTTTTTTTTTCTTTTTTCTTTTATTAAAAACCTTTTTAAAGTTTTATTAATGGACTGCATTGTTTTCAAATTTCCCCTCATAAAAGCTTCTTTAGATGCAACATGATGTAACAAAATCCAACCCATATCCTCCTTACCTGCCTGCAGGCATTTTACTCTACTATGCTGTATGCCTTTCTGCGCACTGCATCTGAACTTCACAAAATATCTCCATCTTACTTGTTAGTAACTACAAAAAATGCATCAGACTATTCACCAACGTTCCTTGCCCTCCCTGGAAGCTTTTTGCTTGCTGGCCTTCTGTTGCACTTTTTAAAGTTTTCTCAGAAACAGTGTCTAATGTCACTCTAGGTAAATACATGTAGGAAAGCAGTCAAAATAATGTACAAAAATATTTGAATTTGAATGTGGGGCTTTTTAGTAAATTAAGCATTTCACTAATCTGGAACAAATAAAAAAAAAAGCCACAATGAAGAAGAACTCCAATATGACGGTTGCAGTGCACCGTAAAAACCAAGAAGCATATCCTGTCTGATGCAACTCTGTGCAGCAAATTAGAGCTATGAAAGTGATCTAAGCACAGAAGTGCAGGGCTATTGCTTCGACTAATCATTGCATACATTGATAAAACTGTAGTGGAAGAGCCAACTGAGGCTACTGAGGGAGCTTCTTACCTTCCTACAGGTATGAAGATGTAGAAGATGCAGATCATGACGCTCCGCTGACCCCCTGAGAAAAGATCTCCAATGATGGTGGGAGCAACGGTGGAGTAGCTGGCCTCTCCAACGCCGACGAGTGCTCGCAACAGAACAAGAAGCCAGAATTGCTAAACAAGTCAGAGAGCACAGGAGCGTTTCAAACATTATTCTAAGAACCACAGACATTCTCACTGTTTGGACTCATAACGGCTTTTATATCACCTAACGAAGCTTGATTACTAAAACTTCAAGGGATTTTATTTGGATTTAAACTGGTAGATCCGCACAAAATAATGCATATAATGGAAAAAAGTCGAAATCTCGATAAGTCATTTTTTTCTTAAAATAAGTGCATGTTTTCTTGAATTGAGGAGGTAACTGAGACACTTTGCCAATGGAATGAGACAATTTCCATTTAAAATAAGAAAAAACTATCTGATTGTTTTATTTCAAGTGTTTATTATCTAATTATCTTATTTTAAGAATAAAAATCCTCATTCCACTGGCAAAACATCTTATTTACCTACTCAAATTAAGGGTAAATACACTTAATTTAAGAGATTTTGAATTATTTCCAAATCATTTTTGCAGCATAATAGTGAAGGTAAATACTGCCTGTGAAATGTTCAGCTCCCTCTTCTCTGATGGTTCAAAATAAAATTAGTTACTACCCTGAATTGTAAAATGCATTTATTTGGATTTTACAACTTTAAAAGTTTCATCATAGGAAGGACAATAATCAGAGAAGCAACCAAGATGTTCATAGTAACTGAGATCCAGATCTTTCCAGTTTTTCCTCTCGCCACAAGCATGCTTAGTTTGAGGGATTGCCTTCAGGTCAATGAGTCGATGCAATCAACTGGTTTTCCTTAGATAGAAAACTTTAAATCAATTCGACTGTATGATCTGGTGAACAGTAAAGAGCCTTGAGATTACTTGTGTTGTGAGTTGGCACTTTAGAAATAAACTGAATTTAATTGAAATTTTGTGGAGGAATCTGCAGCAGGAATGTTAGAAGTCATCAACTACATAAAGTAGAGCAACAAAATAAAGCCTTTGTTAAAACTATGGAAGCCCTGTTTGCATTTTACAACAAGCGGATACAAGGGAGATTTTTTACAGCAGGGCTCTAGAAGCTGGTCCTAAGGAAAGATTGATAGAAAGAAAATTTAAGATGAACTTGACAGAAAACCTGCTAGAGGCTGAAAAATGTTTGAGACTGTCACAGAGTCAACTATAAGGACAACAGCCCAGAAAATATGGCCAAAGCTATAATGGGGGTAGTTTTGATGAATTAAAGAGGTTTAGTTAAATGTAAATGTAAATCAGACTGATAATTTGTTGCAAGAGTTAAAAACAGGTGCTGGCAGAAAAAAAAAAAAAAAAAACACACTCTGTGGGAAAAAAAAGAAAAAAAATATAAGTAAATGGAAATGTTAAAAAGAGACTTTTCATTTTGTTACAGCTTTTGCTTTATTTTTTCAAACAAATAAAGATGACCAATGAAAATGTTGCCAGAATCAAGCAGACCAATACAAATGCTCCTTCGCTTTGGATTAATGAAAAAGTGAAGACAATCTCATTTGTAAATCGCAGTCTGGATAGAATTCAATTTAGAAAACTCAATCTGAACAAGAGAGATGTAGGGGGGAAAAACATAATAATAATTTTTATTATTTATTCTTATTCTTTAAAACATGTATTTTCAAAGAATGGTTTTAAAACCTTCATGCATTTTTTTTCTTATTCACAAAGCGTGTTCCTTGTTTGCAACAATAATGGAAGAAAACTGCATCCATAAAAACCCAAAATGACTGCGGCTGCGATTGCAGTGAGAAGTTAATCTTGCAAACAGTGACTCTACATATTATTGACTTTCACTTAAAAGAGAGAAAAAAATCCCTCCACATCACAACCATCTACTTTCCTTTGCATTGAGCTGTTAAATGGAATCCCAATAAAATTTTCTTAAAATAGTAAAATACTTCATCAAAGGTACATATAAAGATTAATCTCTGTTAAATGTATCATTTTGCTAAGAAGACCAGACAGAAGTTATAGCAGCTGCAGCCTGATCTATGGCTTCTGCAAACATCAGTTCCCGTTATCTTTATTATCTTAAAATAAAGATGATGTATCCAGCATTTTTATGAATCATCTTCTTCATTACATAAAGCCTGAAAATGGTTGTCGGTTTGAATCCCAAAAATCTAAATTCAGTCCATCTATAATTTAGCTGCACACACTACTGACACCTGCAGATGTAAAGTTGACCAAAAACCAGACTTCTACTGTAAAAATAGAAGCCGACGGTAAAGAACCTAAATGTCAGAGGAAGTGACACCATCTGACCACTTCTCATTTCTCCTTCATGTTCTGTCAAGTGCATAGCCTTCGAGCTCAGCAGCTTCCACTTACCGACTTGCTGACAAAGGAGCTGCCTGCTGCAGTCAGGAGCCACACACTCAGGCCACACAGCATGATGTATTTGCGATTGTAGCGGTCCCCGAGGTAACCAAAGAGAGGGGCCAGGAGCAAGAAACTACAGATGAAAACTGCGGATGAATGACACATTAGGAGTTTATTTACAGTGAATAAATGATACTTCCTGTCACATCAAACATTGATGTTGACTGTTCATTGATTTTGGGGATTTATTTTTTTTATTTTTGGCTTCTACTGTAGTTTTAAAGACTTTTTCTGCTACAATTACATTCTGAAACACCTAGGTACACAGTCACGCTATATATCCGTAGCAAAAAGACCTAAATCCAGTCAATCATGATAAACGAAGCCTATAATTCCAAGTAATTGTCTCTTTAGTGTTTTTTTAATTCCTTTTTAGGCCTAAATAGAACCCCAGCACAGGGTGCAATGAGCAGACATAAACAGATGTAGCGCCCTCTGCTGGCAGTATAGCTGATCCCTGATTGGCCTGTAATGCCTTACTGAAAACCAATGGCTCAGGGGATAAAGCTTAAAGCTTCGCTAACACCATTAGCACTATTAGCAAGGACATGTCCTCGTGTGTCTATCAAGTTCGCAGAGACAACCAGATTTATCCCTCTTTGAATCAAACACTGTCTTGCTCTTTTTTACACTTAATCTTGGACTTTTTTTCTCAACGACACTGGGAGTTGGAGACTCACTTTTTTGACCAATTGTATGCAGGCACTGTAACATGGTCCATGTCGCAATGTGTTGTTATGGTAAATATATACAGAAAGGCTATTTCTACTAACAAATTAAGAAATGCTTAAAAAACAAGAATAACAAATCTTACATAGTAATAGGATGACATCATTTATCCCAAAAATTTGAAAGCGTTCAGAGTGAGATACTGGCGGATACTATAGATGTGGGAAAAAATTGATATGCCGATATATCGTGATTTTCGACTGCCCGAGATAATATCGATCTTTCAGTTCCTAGTATCGATTTTTCTAAAACGAAACATTTTACCTAAAACAATGAGGGACATTGGGCTACCTCTACGCTTAATTTGATGACTGGGAAAATTATTGCAATTTATAGTGATATTGTATTATTGTGTTAATACCCAAGTATCGTAAAACGGATCGCATCGCAACACCCATGCCAATACTCACCCCTAGTGCATACATTTTTAAAATGTCAAATAGCATGACTATGTACCTTTAATGGAGCTTGAGGGAAGCTAATGCGCTGCACCCCCACTTTTTCAACATTTTAGGCATACAGCAATGCTGGGAATTAAGCTTAGGTGAGATATGCGACCTTATTTGCATGTACTTGTCTAGCAGTGATTAATTTTCTCTTACATGCAATTATGCTTTTTTTTCACATATTTAAAAATAAAATAAACAAAAAAGAACCACGCGTGTCATAATTTCTCCAGAGATGCTGCCTCATACCTGTTTGCAGCAGTCCAGCCGTGCTGTCGTTGATTGTGAAGAATTTCTGGATATCTGCAAGAACGCCTAAATAAAAAAAAATAAAAAGCCACAATATCAGAGGATCAAAAGGATGTTGTGTGATTGAATCATTTTGCCTCTACGCTTGCAACATCCTTTTTTGTATGGAGGGTAACGAGCGCCAAAATATGATATATATAACTTATTAAATATTTATTTTAAGGTGTTAAAATATGGAATAAATTAATAAATCTATAATAACTTATATAGAAGCTCGGTCATCCGGGAGGGACTCGGAGTAGAGCCGCTGCTCCTCCACGTCGAGAGGAGCCAGTTGAGGTGGCTTGGGCATCTGTTTAGGATGCCTCCTGGACGCCTCCCTGGTGAGGTGTTCCGGGCACGTCCCACCGGGGGGAGGCCCCGGGGAAGACCCAGGACACGCTGGAGAGACTATGTTTCTCGGCTGGCCTGGGAACGCCTTGGGGTTCCTCCTGAAGAGCTGGAAGAAGTGGCTGGGGAGAGGGAAGTCTGGGCCTCCCTTCTTAAGCTGCTGCCCCCGCGACCCGACCCCGGATAAGCGGAGGAAGATGGATGGATGGATGGATAACTTATATAGACCTCAGTTAAATACATGATTTTATTTTAAGAAGTAAATACAATTATTTTATGATTTAATAAATCATTTGAAGTTCTTGAGCTTTAATTACACTATGAAAATAATAACTGTCTTAGTCATTGTTTTAGTTGTCTTATCTTGCTTAATTACAAATAGCCAATCAGACGCCAGAGTTTCTATGGGGCGGCCCTCATCCCGCCTCTTTGGTTGTGATGGAAGTGTGACGGTTTAAATCATTTTATAGTGTGCACCAGCACAGGAATATGAAATTATTTATTTAAACTTAAAATAAGTACGTTTACTTTTCAGATGAAATCAATAAATGTAACCAAGGCCCATATAAATAATCATACATTTATTAAATAAATTCTGTATTTCTAGCTTTAAGAAAGTAGTGAAAATGATTTAAATAATTATTTCACAAGTTATTTGTGGTATTGTTTCACTGGTCACCCACCGTAGTTTTCTATCTTTTTAATAACTGATGATTGTTTCAAATTTTCAGTGATTTTCCATAGTTATAATACAATCTTCTACAATATACAGTTTGGTCAGAACCAGAACCAACATTTATCTCTATAACAAATTAAAATGAGCAACACACGAAATCAGAGTCCTCTTCATCAGTAAACACATAAACTTTATAAGGGTGTCAGGAAATTAGTATAAAATGGTGGCAGGAAGAAATGAAACTGTAAAATACTATAAGAGTTTCTGTCTATGAAAATGTTTGGTTTTAATCCTAAATGTTAGCAGGGATGGACAAAATGGCAGCATTTGGGGAGAAACTGGCAAAGGTGTGATATGGCCTCTAAAAATCTTACCTGCTATCGTATAGCGCTCCATGTAGTTGAGCAGGTTGACATAGCAGAGAACAGCTATAGCTACATAGGCACGTCTTGGTGAAATGGCTGGATTGTCTGTTGCCAGCGGTGCAAGTGAAGAAACGCTGTTTACAAGAGCGCCATAATGTAGACCTGAGCTGGAGCCCAGGCTGCGTCGAGGAACTGGGTCGTCCTGAGAGGGGATTCCAGATCCCTTTTCCTCCATAGTACTGAAACAATCTAAAACACAACGAAAAACCATGTCAATTACAACATACAATTTTTGACTACATATGACGGAAATTAGTCTCGCTGGTACAGAGGTTTACAGTCGGGGAGGATCATACTGTTTGCAGACGATACTGTGATCTGCAGGAAGAGTTAAATACCAAGCTGACCGAATTTTCTATATTTTTGCATTACTTTTAAACTTAGCAATACTTCTAGAAAATTCTATGATTACGACACGACACAGAGGCCCATTATGCTCATCCAGTAGGCTGAACGAGGGTTGAAGTTTATGCTGCAGAATACTAAGGGAGCGAATAACATATCAGAAACGCACTGTCAAGTACAAACAAAAGAAAATCCATACTCTCCATGACAACAAATAGGTGTCAAGATACAATTAAGCTGTTTGACAATAGAAAGTATTTAAAGATAAGAATTGGATTGACCTGAACTAGAATGAAGATGTGTAAAAAGCTGTTAAGCTGTTAAGCTTTAATGTTGTATAAAGCACTGAGAGCAGGGAATCAATTATTGTGCCAATTATGAGTTATTTCTTCAAATTAAATTTTCTCAACATGTTTTTAATGAAAATTTCAATTTTACTATATTTCTAAGTATGAGATCAAAGCCCTTTGCTGAGTAATCAATCTTTTCACAAACATGTCTGCATAAGTATGCTTTTAAACTTTACAGCAGTTCTGAATATTTGCAATAACTGCCTCCGTTGTGATTAAATCTTAGAACAGTCGATTACTCCCCCACACCAATAGTAAACCCCACGATGTGCACCATCCCTTGTGTGAGAAGATCAACTGATTTTCTCAAAGCTTTAAGATAAAAAGCCCACAACCTAAACCAACATATTTCAGCTACACACAACCCGCTGTAAGGGCTGCCGATGCTTTGCTTTTGAAATCCTATTTCCTACAAGTAACCCTGTTTGTGAAACATGTGTTAACACAGGAAAATTCACAAATGCACATAGGCTGATTTCACAACTGTATAAAATATAGGTGTTTCAAAACAAAAGAGAAAGCAGAAGGAAGCTGTTTGCTAAACTGTTTTGCAGCTCCTCCAAACCACACAAACTGTTACGGTATGCAGCAATGGTTACCCGAACATTTCAGCTCTTTCTGTAGATTCACACTAAATCTATACAGCTCTGAAAAAAATAAACAACATGAAAAACTTTTGAATACACTGCAACGCTAAATGCATTCTGTATTTTTAAAACTGCACTCACAGAAAAGCCCAGAGTCTTTGTGACTAAGTGACAGAGTCCATGGAGTGATAACACTGAGCCTATTGTGAAGGGATCTTCTCCAAACAACACCCTCAGCAGACTGGCACTGTTCAAAATTCAGCCTCTACACCTAAAGTCCTGCCTGTTTTTTAATCCAACCTACTGTAGCTGATTATGTAGTTAGTGTGTTTTGTTTTTGTTTTTTTACATGTGGGACATTGAAGAAGCTGAAAGTGTCTAAATAGGTAGAAAGAAAACCAAAAAACAACTCACCTACGGTGCGGGTTAGACGGTGCCCCTGGGAGAATGATTTAATTATCTCCTCTCATTTCATATTTAAGGACTGGATGTGAGAGAACAGCCTGCTCCTCGGTGACTCAATGAGGACTGAGGAAACTAACGGTTATGTCGTTTCTAGCTTGACTCAAGATATATTAAGTTAGTGCAGAGGGCCCATCCCACTCAGGGCTGGTCATATGCCTCCAAATTTGGCTTGACACAACACTGCTTAATGTGCTTCTTCTTTCTGACTTTCCCCACTTCTATGTAAATGGTAAAATGGTAAATGGCTTTTTTTCAAGTCAGGAGACTTGACCAAAGTGCTTTAAACTACACTCAGTCATTCAGCCATTCACGCACACACTCACACACTATGTTTAATTTTTCTCCCAGAACATGTTTAATGGTGTTTCATTCTTCAGGTCCATTTATTGGGACCTTTACCCTTCTTAGTAGATAGAAAGTGTGCAGGTTTCAGAGCATAGATGAATATGCTCAGAGTTCAATCAGCGGTAGACCTCTGATATGTTACCATTATATAAAAAAACAAAAAACAAAAGTGGGTCAGCTCTACCTTTTTGTCTCCATTTTTCGGGGAAATATCTGCATGTTTAGAGCCGACTTAATAACAAGGAAAATGTAAATTAAAAAGAGGTGGAAACCCCTCAAACAAAGCTACTTTATTTCTGTATCTGACCTTTTTTTTTATTTCTCTGGTTCTTGTTGCATCAGTTGTTAACCTGATTACACTTCTGTAACAAACATGCAAATATCCCGCTTTGATCCTAATTAAAAGGACATCAGAAAAAGAAAAAAGAAGTCTATTTTTTTCTAGTTTTACTAGTTTAGTTATCAGTACAATCTATAACAGAGGAGCAGAACCACAAGAGTGAGTTCACCCCTCATAGGACGGTGCTATTGCTATCTATCAACTTCCTCCCCCTCAGAGGATTTCTAAAAATGTAATCAGGTTTGAAATAATTCCTCACCTTTACTTTTAAAGTAAAGTAAAACACAATAGCTGGAAACTTAAAGTGGGAGATAAAGATCAGAGACTTGATTAGTTCATCAGCTTTGCTTTGCAAACTCTTAACAATCAATACCCTGATTGCTTTTTATTGCCTCACAATGTGAGAAAAGAAACAGATGTCTGTTGGTTTTCTCTAACTCCACCTAGTGTTCATTATTAGTAAAGTTTACACACCAAATCTTTTAACAAATCTTATAAGACAAACTGTTCCGACGACTTAAAGTATCTTGCTGATGAACAGCAGCAGATGTCTGAACATTTCCTGAACGTTACAGAAAACACCTGATTTCAGTGATTATCACCTTACTGTGTTGCTCAACAACATCCAACTTCAGGAAGTTTTTACTTGTTCAAAATCAATGTCATGATTTCCATTTTTTTTTTTCTTTTTCACTTATTATTACATTGTCAATTTCAATGGATTTAACTGCCGGCTGATTTTTATGTCTTTAATGGAAGGGTCTGTAAGCTTTCAAGCACAACTATAAAAAAGATTTTCATGCTGAAGTTTTTTTTTCTCTCCTGGGTTTCAGAAGTTATGATGTGAAACTATCATTTTTAACTCAGACCAAACTAAAATGTATTTATGCATATAGCACAGAACTATAACTCTCTCATATGAAAAATAATCATAAATTAAAAAAAGCAATCCAAGCACGTTAAAGGAGAAGTGTGGTCATATTCAGAATTCAAACTTCTCAAATTATTACATACTGTTCAATAAATGATAAGTGTTTTTAATTCAGAATTATTTTCATTTGAATGTGAGGCATCCATGTTTGTCAAAGAACACTACTGCCACCTACCGTTTTGTGACGTCACGGTGCGGTATCGGCTGTTGATCAAGTCCCAGTGCTGTATCTGGCGTTTGTCACAATGCGCTATTATCCAAGTCATCTGGAAAACATTCTTCTTTGAAATGTTGGCTACATATGACATGTGTTTCGCTGGCCAGTTCAATTGCAAATCCTCCCTCTTCAATTCAATTCAGTTTATTTCTATAGTGCCAATTCACAACACATGCATTTCAAGGCACTTACAGTTGACCAGATCATCCAGTCAAATTAATTCAAAGTTTTCTATGTAAGGAAACCAGTTGATTGCATCGAATCATTGACTCAAATACAATCCCTCACACTAAGCATGCTTGTTGCGACAGTGGAGAGGAAAAACTCCCTTTTAACAGGAAGAAACCTCCAGCAGAACCAGGCTCAGTGTGAGCAGCCATCTGCTGAGACCCACTGGGGTTCAAGAAGACCGAAGCAGAGATACAAAATAAAGCAACTGTAAAAGTTATAGTTTTACAGTAGTAAAACTGTAAAACTATAACGTTTAAGTATAGCTCTGGTGAATTTCAATGGTGAAGTCCTCTGGAAATCTTCAATAATTGTTGTTGATTGCAGATGTGTCTAGTAGCTCCCATTGATTTTGCTTGTAAAGCGGGGAGAATGGCGCTAGGCTTACTGTACCGTGATGTCACTGCTGGAAGATGGCAGGAGGGAGGGGTTACTATATCTGGGCAAAAATGGCCGCTCCTAGACTCGATGATTATGAAGAAAATTATTGTTTTAATTTTTTTTACTAACTAACACTAAATTCATTAAATAACCGCAAATGCATTAGTTTTAGGTATAAATAATGATCCATTGATTGTTCCTTGCTGACTGGACTTCTCCTTTAAGCAGTGGCACTTATCAATTAATTGAATGTCCTCTGCACATAAAAATAACCGTCTGAGGTTCTCAGCAGGACATTTCATTTCAACGGCTCCTTACTTTGAAAGTGATGCTGAAATCAGGTGCTAAATATGCATGAGTGAAACAGCTGCAGAAGTTGTGCCTTTGAAAACGTTTACCCAGAGGTGACAAACATACTGATATTCTTTTCTTAATTAAAAGTACAGATAACTGCGTTAAAAAAAAGGTCTTTGCAAAAAGCAGTGTAACGACTCAACCCCTTTAAATAAGTAAAAGTAAAAAAGTACAGGTTCTACAGCGTACTAAAGCATAAAACTAAAATGAAGTTTTCATCTTAAAGCACACAAAATAATGTCAAATATAAAAAAAAAAAACAATTTAAATGCACAGAAAATAGATTGATTTTCTTCTTTTGTTGGCTTTGTTTTCAGAGATGACATAAAGTACTGAATCTGTTTAGTTTCGTTCAAGTTATTAACGGGGGGGTATGGTTAGGGTGACTGCAGATAAGGTAATATAGCCTGAACTGAGGTCCTGATTGAGCAGCTGATTAGTTTTCACAGCATTTAAGTTGCAAAGAGCATCAACAGTGACACAGAAATTAAAAGAATTTAAAATCCAATAAAGGGGGAACGGATGGGAAAAGACCTGCATCTTAGGATCTGATCCATCAACTGCTATGTTTTGCAGGCAGGCCCAGTAATTTACTGGGTAAATCTGATAGTTTGCATATTAAGGGGAGATATAAACGTCGCCTTCCAATGTGGAGAAAAGAACAACAGAAAAAGGAGTGGGCTTCATTAACAAAGAGCAAAGAAGATATGGGTGCAGCAGAAAGGAAACCTGGTAAGAACACTGATAAGGTCATAGCTTTTCTTTCAGAATTTGCTCATGTGTGTCACGGCTTGCAGTTTACATCACTGATGGGAAGTTGCACCATCAAAGTGAAACAGGCTGTAACCAAGATACTCCCACCACCATGCTTCACTGGCAGCGAAATACATCGATTTCTACTCTATGTTTCTGATCTGCATGGTGATGAAGCCACAAAGCTTCACTAAAGTTCTCTAAGTTTGAACTTTTTTTTACCCAACTGTTTCTTCAAAGTTGTGAAAAATCAAAAAAGAGCTAAGCCACCAAAGGCGGTTAGCCCTGCAGATCTGGCCCTGAGCTCTGTACTGAAAACTAAATATACTTCTAATGATGATGTGTGCTGAAGCAGACATACAGTTCCCTTAGAACCATTTCTTTTTTTTTTCTTTGCAGTTCTGTTTCAATTAGGACTTAAACATAAAGGTACCAGCTTCAGTTGTGTTGAAATAGGATCAAAGTTTCTATTTGATAAATGTTATTTTAACCAAGTATAAAAAAACAACAACTCTAATTTGTCAAAGTTGAATTGATTAGTTTTAATTAATATTTTATTCTGAATCAGTTAAAAACTCATCATTTTAATTTAAAGCATGCAAAGGGTTAGATTAAAAAAATAAAAATATATTAAACTCTTTGAATGTTTCATAAATCACTGTTCAATTATCTGAAACAACTGATAATCTATACTGTTCACCAAGACTGACCAGTTTGCTTTCATTAGTGCTTCGCGCACTCTTGGCATTCTCTTTCAGAGCTTCCAGATGCAGTCATCTGAAGTGGTCTTCCAGCTGTCTTGAAGGAGTCCCCAGAGATGCTTAGCACTTGTTGGCCCCTCTGCCTTCACTATGCGATACAGCTCGCCATAAACCATCTCGATTGGGTTCAGGTGTGGTGATTGTGGAGGCCAGGTCATCTGGTGCAGCATCCTATCACTCTCCTGCTTGGTCAAATATCCCTTACACAGCCTGGAGGTGTGTTTGGGGTCATTGTCCTGGTGAAAAATAAATGATGGTCCAACCAAACGCAAACTGGAAGGAATAGCATGATGCTGCACGATGCAGTGTCACCAGCAAAGCACCCCCACACCATCACACCTCCTCCTCCATGCTTCACAGTGTGAACCAGGCATGTAGAGTCCATCCGTTCACCTTTTCTGTGTCGCACAAAGACACGGTGGTTGGAACCAAAGATCTCAAATTTGGTCTCATTAGATCAAAGCACAGATTTCCACTGGTCTAATGTCCATTCATTGTGTTCTTTAACCAAAGCAAGTCTCTTCTGCATGTTGCCTGTCCTTAGCAGTGGTTTTCTAGCAGCTATTTTACCATGAAGGCCTGATTCACACAGTCTCTTTTTAACAGTTGTTTTAGATATGTGTCTGCTGCTAGATCTCTGTGTGGCATTGACCTGCTCTCTAATCCGAGCTGCTGTTAAGCTGCGATTTCTGAGGCTGGTGACTCGGATGAACTTATCCTCCACAGCAGAGGGGACTCTGGGTCTTTCTTTCCTGGGGTGGTCCTCATGTGAGCCAGTTGTTTTGTAGCACTTGAT